GCGAATAATTGATTTCGTTTTATACTGATAAAGGTTTTACTGCGTAACTTTTGGTATGTTTATGAGATGACATTTGTGCACGTTTTGTGTATTTTCTGGAATATTTTTACCGGGTATTTTGAATTCGGCGGTGTTTTAATCGAATAATAAATTATTTGAGAAATCTAAAAATAAGTTTTGTTCTGAAAAATTCTGTATATCTATTCTGTTCTGGTGCTATAAGCACAAAGGGAGACATAAGGGGCCAGAATCTGAGATTCTGTCAGTGTCAGGGAAGGGAGGCATAAGGGGCCAGAATTCGTCGAGATTCTGTTAGGGTCAGGGATATCTGATATGTGATATGTGAAATGTGATATATGAATTGTGATTTTATCTGATTTGAATTTTGATTTGTACGATCCGATCCGTTCTGTGATTAGAAAGTTTTATAAGATCTGTTCTGCACTCTGATTTGAATTCAAGTATATGTTTTGTCTGATTATATGAATTCTGTCTGATATTCTGATTTCTGTACGATTATCTGATTTCTGTACGGCTATTTGAATAAATGTTTCTGATGTGTTTTCGGATGTGAATTTCTGGAGATTTTGATTGGTGAGTGTAGTCTTGCTGAGCTGTTAGCTCATCCTTGTTTTCTGCGTGGTTTTCAGGTTCTGGGAAAGAGAATGAAGTCTTGGATTAACCGTTCAGTGTCTAATCAATGATTAGGTATTTTGTACTTTTGATTTTTGTACAGTCATGACTTTTCTGTTCTGTTTTCTGTCGGTAGCCATGCACTGTATTGTATATGATTATTTTGATGAAAGAAAGAAAAAAATAGTGGATACATTTCTTTATATGTATTTGAAGTTTATAACAGCTCTGTGTTTCTGTTTGTTTGAATACTTGGAAGAAAGTTTTGAAGCAAATTCCAAAGCTAGATCTTGGATTTTCTGTATTTGTCGCGGCCCGACGCGAAGAGATTCGTTCCGGTCGGGTTGGGTCGTGACATTTATACCCTCATGCGAGATTGGGGAATCAAGGTCACTAGATATCATTACAAACTGATATGAAAATACACATTGAGCTGTCAGCCTGTCAGTATAAAATGATTTGACAGCACATATTGATCTGTCAATATGAAATGATTTGATAATATAATTTCTTAGATTTGATTTGCAATACAACTCAGAAAAAAAAATTGAATAGTAAAATCAAATTTAAAATTTTATAGTACAAGCTAGAAAAAATGATTATATAAAATTTTTGTATGACTCACCATCTTCTTGTACCACTTGTAGACTTTTCTTTTTAAATTTAAACTTTTAAACAGTACTCATAAAAAAGTATTTAATTTTTTTTTTAATTAACAAGGTTAAAAGTCGCCCCCTTAAACGGGCGACTCATGGATAATTACTTTTTTTCGTTCTTTGTCTACTTAGCATAATGGTTATCTGATTCGGGCTTAGCCTAGTTAGCATAAGTTGTTCATTTAACTAGCAATTTTGCCTATTTTTAAATTTTTATAGCAATGCTTAAGCTCTTAATATAATTTATAGTTAGTCTTAGTCATAAAACTTTCCCCGGATAAAATGAGATCTAGAAGGAAGAGGAAAGTTTTTTAATTAGATGCAAGTCGCTTGCTTAACAGTTGACTTACAAATCGCCCATTCATGGGCGACTTATATGCAACATCAATTTGCAACTTCCTCGCCACATTCGTCCTTAACCATTTTAGTCAAGCATAAGTCGCCCGTTTAATAGACGATTTTGCCTATTTTTTTATAATTATGCTTATACTCTTAGTACATGGTTAGTCTTAAAATTTTCCCTTTATATATCATATATTTTTAATTATGTATATAATTTTTTACAAAATTATTCAATTCACACTTCAATTATGAAAATAAGATTAACTATAGTGACCTTAGCACCCTAAATGAAAATAAAGATTTATGTTTTTTATCGGCGTATTAGTAAAACTGAAGTTAGAGAGGCTTTAAAGAAAACGAAGGGTGGAAAAGCTGTTGGACCTGATGATATTCCAATAGAGATGTGGAAATGCTTAGGAGATGAAGGAATTTCATGGCTTACTAAACTTTTTAATACTATTTTGAAGACTAAGAAGATGTTAGATGAGTGGAGAATGAGTGTGTTAATTCCTATTTTTAAGAATAAAGGTGATGCACAAGATTGTGCGAATTATAGAGGTATTAAGTTAATGTGTCATACTTTAAAACTATGGGAGCGAGTTATGGAGCATAGGTTGTGGCGTGATACTAATGTTTCTCAAAATCAATTTGGATTCATGCCGGGTAGGTCGACTATGGAAGCCATACATTCATTAAGAGGTTTGATGGAGAAATATAGAGAAAATAAGGAGGATCTACATATGATATTTATTGATTTAGAAAAAGCATATGATAAAGTTCCAAGAGAAGTGCTATGGAGAGTTCTTGAAAAGAAAGGAGTCAATAATGCTTATATTCAAATCATTAAAGATATGTATGCAGGAGCTATTACTTGTGTTCAAACACAAGGTGGATTGACCAAGTATTTCCCTATTTCGGTTGGGTTACATCAAGGATCAGCCTTAAGCCCATATCTTTTTGCTTTAGTCATGGATGTTCTCACTAGACATTTGCAAGAGGATGTACCTTGGTGTATGCTTTTTGCTGATGATATTCTTCTTGTTGATAAGACTAGAGAGGGAGTTGAAGGTAAACTTGAATTATGGAGGTCAACCTTAGAGTCTAAAGGTTTTCGCTTGAGTAGATCTAAAACAGAATATATGGAGTGTAATTTTAGTAGTAATAGACCTAGTGAGGGGATTGTGACTTTGGACGACAAGTCATTAATAAGAGTACACGTTTTAGATATCTTGGATCAATTGTTCAGAGTGATGGTGAAATAGATGGGGATATTATCAACAGAATTCAAGTTGGATGGTTGAAGTGGAGGAATGCATCGGGCTTATTATGTGATAGAAATGTACCCCTCAAACTTAAGGGAAAATTCTATAAGATGGTAGTGAGGCCTGCAATGCTTTATGGTGCCGAATGTTGGCCATTAAAAGAGAAGCATAATACTAAGTTAAGTGTGACAGAGATGAGGATGCTCAGGTGGATGAGTGGCTTTACCCTTAGAGATAGGATATGAAATGAGCATATACGTGAAAATGTTGGAGTAGCTCCAATAGAAGATAAGATTAGAGAGATCGCCTTAGATGGTTTGGTCACATAAAAAGGCGGCCTTCCGACGACCCAGTTAGGAGAGTAGAGGTATTAGATTTGACTTATATTAAGAAAGATAGAGGCAGACCTAAAAAGACTTGGTTAAAAAATATTAGGAATGACCTTTCTTTATTAGATTTAAACGAGAATTTGACTTTTAATAGGACACAATGGAGAAAAAGGATTCATATAGCCGACCCCACGTAGTGAGATAAAGGCTTGATGTTGTGCTCGAAAAATAAAGAATTTTTGGCAAATCTTTTGGCTTATTTTAGCTACAAATCCATACATTTTTATTTTGAACGCAGTCAAAGAATACAGAATCCATTTGGAAAAAAATGCAAATAAAATAAAAAAATGATTTCCACAGCCATTCAAGAATACAACAGTCAGATTTCTATTCTATTTTCCGTATGCAAATGTTAAAAACTGTATAAAAGAACTCAATCAGCTGGAACTTAAAAAAAAAAAAACTCTTTGTATGCTTTAGTATTACTTTATCTCATTATTTCCATCTGTGTTTCCCTTTAAGTATCAGAAAACCTGCAGAGCAAAAATAAAGGATTTATACAGAAAGTAAAGTTAAACAAAACTATCATTCATAAAAAAAGAAGAAGCTATTTTTCAACTTTCATGATTTTTTCTTGTGGTTTATTGATAGGAAATACTTGAGTTAAGTAACTCTAAGGAAAATATTTGAGTTCGCAAGAAAACTTATCACTAATTGGTGAAATCAGCACCAAAAAGATGTATTGCAATAAGAGAATCAAAACCAAATAAACACAAAACAAGATGTAAGTGATCCTCAATTCGAGAGGAGGATTATTCTCTCCCAACCACTAGACAAGAAGTCTAGAGCATAAGATGCCAAGAAACTTCAA